TTTCAAGAGCATTCTGACTGGCTTTGTGCAAACAGGGGGCCTTACCGGTTAGGATGAGGGCCAGTTGAGGTGTTAGGGTTGAGTGCAGGCAAGGTTCATGTAAACTTATTGTTAGCAAGAATCAGAGAAGGATTTTCATATTTTTGTTCGGGGGGGATAAATATCTGGGGGGTGATGCTGCTTGCTTTGGCCGGGGCCTGGTGGCAACGCCTGGAAAGGCCAAGGAAAAAGTTTAACAAAATTTGTTTTCTATGTCTGCATGGCAAGATTGAGACCATAATATTGATAATTTTACAAATTTAGTAGTAAGAATAATCAAATATGAAACCATCAAATCAAAATATATATAATTTGTGGGGGTGCAAAAACTTTGGGGGGCAGTGCCAAATGCCTCTTGGGGGGGGGGAGGGGGTTGCAAATCATTTCTGGGGGTATGCCCCCCCCCAGAAAATCTGTGCCTGGCAAGAATGTTATGTGTACATAATCATGTGTAATGTTGTTTGGATTAATTGCATTTAAACGTTGGAATCCAGTGTCGAACAATAACCACAACAATTATTATATAAAGTATTTGGTTGTTTTAGTGTAATATTAATTTCTCACATATTTTTTTCAGAAATAAAGCACCATTGAGCAACTTGTTGGGAAAGAGGAGTCACAAACTGTTGATGAATATATTTAATTAACTACACATAAAATACAATTTTATTAACAGTATATTGATTTATGGGTTTATTAGACCACATTATTTTCATATTATTAATAATTAAAAATAAAATTAACAAATAAATTACAAAATCAATGTGAAAATATTGCAATAATCAATTAAAATGTCAAACCAGCCAATTGTTTCAAATTATAGCTGTTATTGTTATTGAATATGTCTATGCTATGGACCAGTGGTATCTGCATTATTTTAACATCGAGACGAGGCTATAGGGTCATGTTTTGTGTTTTTTACCCTTTAGCCTCGTTTTCGTCCGTACTTCCACTGAGATACCGCTGGTTCGCCACAGCGGGTATTCAAATACGATAACAGCTATTATGCATTTGTGAGTGTAACCTAACCCCCTCCCCCCTGAGAGAACAAGAGAGTTGCTGTGGGCCCCTATTATCCCTTTTGATAAGTCAGGCAATCCACCACATAATTTTCCTTTCAAATGCCAGACGAATATACTTGTCAATGCAAGGGGAGAGCTTTGGCACTCTATGGGTTGACCAGTATATGCCTATGCATCCTGTTAAGCCTTTGATAAGTCTGAATGCAACACAATGCACCCTACTTTATTATTCTGTCTAATGGCAAATTTTATTTGTGAAGGGGAGAGTGCTGAATGAGTTGACCTGCACCCTGATGTGCCCTACTTTTAGTATTTTACTCTGTCTTATGCCAGAGTATTTTACTCTGTCTAACGCCAGATGATTTTACTCATCAAGTGGAGAGTGCTGCCCCTCGATGGATGGATGAATGGAATATTATACTAATTGCTTTGAACAAAGGTGATTCCCTTTGTAGCCTGCTCGCAGCCTGAAATTAATTTAGAAGGGGAAAATTTGATATATAACGATTAACTCTTCAAAATAACAACCTATGTAGTGTACATTAACACTCATTATCTGCCAACACCATTTTCAATCACGTGAAAATGAAGTGTGTCACGTGTTGTGTTCTAGCTGCCCCTACTTGAAAATCGGGGTAGTCAGAACAGTTCAGAACAGTCATGTGACCGTGTTCTATTCCATTCCATTAGTGTTCTGAGAATCCGGAGTACTCCGAACAGTAAATGGAGCACCTTGCTGTGAACCAATCAGATTGGTTCAGAACCAAACAAAATATAAATTTACATACGTCGCTAGGTTAAAGGTTAATATATCATATTACTGTAATTCCATTCAGTTATTTACATACACGGGCCATACGTACAGGAGCATACTGATACAGGCCTAAAGAATTTTGTAGATTGTTTTTCCCTTCGACATTTTAATTACGCACTGCGAAATGGTGGCGCGCAAATGATAAAATCCGAACGGTTCGATCAATGTGTTCGATCGGCTTCGCTTCGAATTAATTCAAAATACCGGCCTCGCTTCCGGCGGAAGCAAAAGGCCAGCAACTGGGCTCAGTAGTGTTATTCCTGGAGTCGTTTTATAATACTCGTTTCCCAGATCTCGTGACACGGTTTAATTGTTGCTGTTGTGCGAAGAAGAGCTAGAATGGCGGTAGTAGAGATTCTCGAAAAGCTAAAATGTGTTTACGCAAATGCAGCTAACAACCAGGACGTTACTTTCACGTATGGAATAGAACGCACCAAAACAACTGCACCAATCCAAAATGATGTCAATGGTACCACAGGAAAGGAACCATCAAACACAGACAAGGAAAACTTTAATAAACTTCGGGACAAGTTTTTGAGTGAAGTCAGCTACAATAAAGGTCACGGCACGATTTACCGTCTAGATAGCGGCCACTGGCGAATTGATCAACAAAATAACAGCACTGACTTTTTCAACATACAATTTCAAGTTGGCGAAAATACCTTCGCGAATGTTGTCGTCTACCCCATAATAGGTAATAATACCCCACAGTATTGGCTTTCTAGGTTAGTGTGGTTGCCCAGCCATCACTTCAGTGTGTGTGTGTCTGTGTTTTAATATTGTCTAGTACTATATAATAATGAAAAGTTATTAAATTAAACTTAAATTAAATATAGTGCCAAAACCAGCCCAGGGAGAGCATATTAACATGGATATGAAGGTGTTCGCTCAGCGCGAAGGACGAAAGGCAGGAAGTGCCACATCTATCAAGAGAGTGTATGATGTTGAGGAGCTCGACAGCTACAAGAAAGAAGAGAGTAGAATCAACATGGCGAAGCGAGTCAACAAATACGTTGGAGAAGCCCTCACGGAAAGTTTGTATAAGAAGCTGAAATACGAGATCAGAGTTGTTCTCCTGAAACAGAATTAAAATTAGTAGACTATAAAGGTTCTTTTACAAAACTGCCTAATACAACAATACATATACTGTATTACTTAGTTCTCGATTGCTTCCTAGGCCATGTGTTTACAAAGCACGGGCTATTTGTAATTTTTCCTAGAAGTAGCAGGTTACATATTTCAATTTGAATATGATTAGTATTCACACGCTTTCACTAGTATTCGCTGCGAGTATCCTTGGAATAGTAGTAGTATTCAGATGTGAATACCTTAGAAGAAAACGCACCTCATATATATTCCCACCTAGAATACGTTTGAATATTTTTAAGGTCTTTGTGTGAACATATTAATATTAAGTGATTGTGTATGGATATTGAATAATCAAGATCTTATCTTGGATAAATATTTGTAGGAAATGTGTTTACGCAGCCGAATGCGCACAGAACTTGCTTTCATTCTGCAATCGTCTGTCAGTTATCAAGAGTTGAGATTTTACTTCGTTTGTTGACGATAAAATTAACATATAACCCACGCATTTCGATTTGATATGTAATATTTTGGTTTCTTTGTCATGCTATTATTAATTGGAGTGCTCTGTATGATCTTGTCTAAAAGTACACACGAGTGACCACGAGTGACCACGAGTGACCACGAGTGACCACGAATGACCACGAGTGACCACGAGTGATTTCTGTGTTTAAAAGTCATAAAATAATAATAAAAAACTATTTTAAGGTGGCTCCCTAAGGTTTTTGCATTATACTGCACTATAGTATCCAGAAAACGCCTGTTTCTTCACTTTACATAACATGAAGACGAAACTTATTGGACACATTCACAATGCTCTCCTGAACATTGCAATGTGCTACTTTTGTGCTGAAAGTCCGTTACCATGGCAACAGCGTGCTTAGGATAAGGCTCAAAATTTTTCTTTTTTCGGCCATTTTAAAAATCCCTTCGGGAACTTTTTTTTAGTTTTTCGACTATTGTACACGTCAGTCTACAAGAACATAGCAGAGCATCTGAAGTTGG